ATCTTTTTAAAATAATTATTCAATAATAACACAATTTTTCTCATAATAGAATACTGAAAAGCTTATATTTTAGCATTTTACAATTACTCCAAACACAACCGAATTAAGTTAAAGACAATATTGAATATTGAGACTAGAAGACTCATATTTCTTTTTTCAATTACAGAATGGTGCTAAGATTGAGATTGGTTTGCAGTCAATAATTTAAATAATTTAATGTTAATTTTTTTTCAATAAAAAAATAAAATATTTTGAATTTAAGTTACATGACATATTACTGGAGCGAGTTAAGAAACAAAAAAAAATTGCATTTCATTTTGCAACTCAAAATCAAAAGAAAAAAAAAAATTGGGGTCAGTTAGGGTTTTTGACTAAACCAGACCAAATTTTTTGGTTAGTATCTACATAACCAAACTCTAATTTAATTATAAATTTGAAAACTAAGTTCAGTTCAGGTTTAATAGAAACGTCCAAATTTTATAAAAATTACGAATTAAATTCTATTTCTATAAAATTTTGTTTGGTTCGGTCTTTCCAATTAAACCATAATTTGTTATTAATTTAGTTAAATTGGTGGGTTGTTTCGGTTTTTACAATTTTAAGATCATACTGAAACCGAATATAAATTTTGTTTGTTTGAACTTAGTTTAAAATTGAATTAACTATTTAGCCTTCATTAAGAATTGTTGTGAAATGTAGTGTGTTTTTGAGTATTTCATTATTATAAAAATAATGTAAATAATGTTATTGTTTACTAATTATATTGGAAAGAGTATTATACATCAATACAATTACTAAATTATATATAACAACAATTAAATAAATTTAATCATAATAAACTAACATTTTTAATGAGATACTATGATGAAGAAGTTATGTAAAAGGATAAGGATATACACACCCTCTAACGTTACACATTTTATTACACCCTAACTATCTCCGTTATGCAAACGGACGGTGTTTGTTACCCAACCTGTTTTTCTCTCTCCTTTTATTTCTCTGGTGAGAACCCAGCTTGGGTTCTCTGGTGTGAGAACCCAGGTCGGGTTCCCACCGTGAGAACCCGAGCTGGGTTCTCTGAAAACCTAGATCTGGGTTCTCAAGAACCCAGCTCGGGTTCTCCACCGAGAGAGGAAAAAAAAAAAGAAGAAGAAAGAAAGAGGTGAGGGAAAGAAGAAGAAGAATGATCGGTGATGAAGGTCGATAGCAAAATTCAAGCATTCTTATTCTGGTTTTTTTTTTTTTTGATTTGTTGTGAGTTGCTGGAAATTTCTTTTGAATTCTTTGTGCGTTGTTGAAAATGTCTAATGGGTGCTCCAAAAAAGATGGAATGTTGGCAGCAACAGGCAACGTCGGACACTTTTTTTGGTTGGATGTTTGCTTCTTACATTAATGGCAGCAAGATTAAGAAACCCAGCACTCTCTAGATTTGAAGAAGATGGAGAAGTTTAGGGGTTAGGTGTGTAACGGAGACCGTTAATATACTTGACGGATTCCATTAGTGTGTGGATAGATGTATAACGGTAGAGGGTAAGCCAATCATTGTCCTATGTAAAACTACAACTTCAAACACAATATCTGTAATTTGACCTAACCAAATTTTTTCAATTTGGTTCAAATTTTTGGTTATTTTGATTTTAACCGAAGAATATCTCGCCTGAAATATAGCCGTGGGTTCTCGCTTGCAGGGAGAGGGGGCGGGGGTTCGGGGGATAGAGGCAGTAGGTTCGAACACTGCTGTTTACTGGTAAGGAGCATTTACAAAAGAGTAGTGATTACATAGCACTAAAATTGTAGTGATACATAGAATGAAAATTAGATTAATATAAGTTAATTATTACTCTTTCTATATTAAAATAATTGTTATTTTTTTATTTTAATTTTATCCTAAATTAATTTTTGACTTTTCATTTTTTAAGATAGATAAATATTTTTTTTATTTTAATCTTATAATTATCTATTTATTTTAATTAATTATTTTATCACAAATTTACTTTTATCTTTTAACTTTTATCTAAAATAATATAAGTAAATATATAAATGATTTTCAAATCCTTAATTTGAAAAAAAAAAAGTAAAAAAATGATAATTATTATTGAATGGAAGAAATAAATAAGTTGATGTATGTAATATCACGAATTTTAATAAAATAAAAATATTCTATTATTAAATAAGGGAAATAATTGATACACTCATTGATTTAATACTTGGTTCAACACTCAGTTCAACATTCGGTTCAATATTTGGTTCAATATTTTTTAGTTTAATCATTAAAAATATAATATAAATACAGTCAATTCAGTCGGTTCTTGTATCTTGTGTGCATGATTGTATCATTATACTTATTTGTTTTTAATTTCAAACTAAAAAATAATGATTTTTTAATGATTAAACTGAAAGTATTGAACCGAAAGATGTACCAATTATTGTCTTATTAAATAATTAGGTTTTACTTTTTAATACTTTGAATAACATGACTTATTAGTCTCAAATTTTAATCCCAAAATTTTCATCGTGTTTATCATTATCATTATTATTTATAAAATGGCAATTCCTTAATATATTAAAATAATTATTATTTTTCACTTCTTCTCAAACTTAAAAATTTGGAAACAATTTTTATCTTTATCCATATTACTCTTAAAAAAGAAATAAAAAATAAAAAAGATTTTTTTATAAGATAATAATTAAAATAAAAAAAATTGGATTAAAGTAGAAAAAATTCTTTGTTTATCTTAAAAAATTAAAAAAAAAAACAACAATTAATTTAAGATAAATTTCAAGTTAAATATAGAATTATTTTGGTTAAATACCCATTTTGGGAATCCCTCGACTTTTAGTTTTGAACCAAGTTTATTCCTAAACTTAAACAATTACTAAAATCATTCTTAAATTTTAATTTTCAGATACCAATTTGATCCTTCTGTTAACCCAAGTGCCTATATGCAATAATTCCTGTTATAAATTTCATTTTTCAATTTTTAGATATTTTGTGGAAAATCAAAATTGTTGATGCAGCACTTTTCTCTGTTAAAAAAATTATTTTGTGAGTAGAAAGGTGCGGTAGGTATAAAAAATGATTTAAAGATAATTTTTTTATATAATTTTATGTATTATTTAAATATTTTATTTTATTTATTTATTTAAAACATATATATTATATATATTCACTTATTTAATAATTTATAAAAATTATATAAAAAATTATATAAAAATATTATCTCTATCTCACCCACTAGCAAATGGTTGTAGTACACATGTGAAACAACATTTAAGAAATTTAAATCCGGTGGCAATAGAGAAAGTTGGAACCTACAGTACTTAATTAAATTATCATTATGGGTGGAAATATAAAGATAACTTTTTTATATTATCTTTTTATACAATTTCTTCATATTATTAAATAAATAGATGCAATTAATATCATTAGTCTCAAATAAATGAAAAAAGTCAATTATTTAAAAAATATATTTAAATAACATGTAAAATTATACCAAAAAGTGAGACAAAAAGATTACCCTTAAATTGTTTTCCTTATCATTATAATAATTTATCTTTAAATAACTACCAATTATGAATAATAAGGTAAATAATTAAGCCTTAAATTAACATTAATTAATCTTAATTTAAAAAAAAAAAAGAAGTCAAAAATTGCCTCTCTCTTCCGTTGTATTCATCCTCCTCCACTGCCACTGGAGCCTTCTCTCTTCACTCGCTTCACTGGGTTCTCTAGCACTAGGTTTAGAAGAAAATAAATCCTCACTTTTTCTTGCTCACTACAAGAATTTCAGGATTTACCTGCACTTTATTTCAGGCGCTTACCATGTGTGCTGGAAATCCTAACTTGGGGTAGAGTGCTTTTTGCTTTTTGGGCGTTTTATTTATGCATTTGGAAATATTATTCATTTCCGGCAGTTGAAAAGCGCCTGTATATTAAAAATAAAAAGAAACAGGACATATAGTTAGAATCCCCCAAAACCAAGTCCCCGCGCTATTTTCCCTTCGTTGCCTCGTCTCCTTCCAGTCTCTCGTTCCCTTTCTGTCTCTCGTTCTTTTCTATTTCAGTATTCTCCCTTTCGTTCTTTTCATTGTCAAAACTTTTGTTTCATTTCCAGAGTCTCTCCACTGGGTAAGCAGAAACCCTAAACCGATTGCAGTCGGTAAGCTTCAAATCTCTCCATTAGGTCGTCGTCTCTTCAATTTTGATTTTGATTTCTCAGATTTTGATTTCCCGTTATCCTTTGTGTCTTCTCCTTCGAATCTCATCAAGTACTCAAGGTTTGTGTCTTCTTCTTAGATTTCTCAAAATCCCCTGTTTATGATTCTGAAATTTGAGAATTGAATCCAATTTCAACAAATG